TGAGATAGTAAGAACAGATACATAATTAATTAAAGGCTATGTAGGCCTTTAAATCCAGTCTATGAGTGAGATAGCAAGAACAGAAACATAATTCATTAAAGGCTGTGTAGGCCTTTAAATCCAGTCTATGAGTGAGATAGCAAGAACAGAAACATAATTCATTAAAGGCTGTGTAGGCCTTTAAATCCAGTCTATGAGTGAGATAGCAAGAACAGATACGTAATTCATTAAAGGCTGTGTAGGCCTTTAAATCCATCTAATGAGTGAGATAGCAAGAACAGATACGTAATTCATTAAAGGCTGTCCAGACCTTGAAATCCAGTCTATGAGTCAGTGAGATAGCAAGAACAGATACGTAATTCATTAAAGGCTGTCCAGGTCTTTAAATCCAGTCTATGAGTGAGATAGCAAGAACAGATACATAATTCATTAAAGGCTATGTAGGCCTTTAAATCCAGTCTATGAGTGAGATAGTAAGATCAGATACGTAATTCATTAAAGGCTGTGCAGGCCTTTAAATGCAGTCTATGAGTGAGATAACAAGAACAGAAACGTAATTCATTAAAGGCTGTGTAGACCTTTAAATCCATCTAATGAGTGAGATAGCAAGAACAGATACGAAATTCATGAAAGGCTGTCCAGGCCTTTAAATCCAGTCTATGAGTGAGATAGCGAGAACAAATACATAATTCATTAAAGGCTATGTAGGCCTTTAAATCCAGTCTATGAGTCAGTGAGATAGTAAGAACAGATACATAATTCATTAAAGGCTGTGCAGGCCTTTAAATCCAGTCTATGAGTGAGATAGCAAGAACAGAAACGTAATTTATTAAAGGCTGTCCAAGCCTTTAAATCCAGTCTATGAGTGAGATAGCGAGAACAGAAACGTAATTTATTAAAGGCTGTCCAAGCCTTTAAATCCAGTCTATGAGTGAGATAGCTAGAACAGAAACGTAATTTATTAAAGGCTGTCCAAGCCTTTAAATCCAGTCTATGAGTGAGATAGCGAGAACAGAAACGTAATTTATTAAAGGCTGTCCAAGCCTTTAAATCCAGTCTATGAGTGAGATAGCTAGAACAGAAACGTAATTTATTAAAGGCTGTCCAAGCCTTTAAATCCAGTCTATGAGTGAGATAGCGAGAACAGAAACGTAATTTATTAAAGGCTGTCCAAGCCTTTAAATCCAGTCTATGAGTGAGATAGCGAGAACAGATACATAATTCATTAAAGGCTGTGTAGGCCTTTAAATCCAGTCTATGAGTCAGTGAGTTAGCAAGAACAGAAACGTAATTTATTAAAGGCTATGAGTGAGATAGCGAGAACAGAAACGTAATTCATGAAAGGCTGTCCAAGCCTTTAAATCCAGTCTTTGAGTCAGTGAGATAGCAAGAACAGATACATAATTCATTAAAGGCTGTGCAGGCTTTTAAGTGTTTAGCATTAATTTCACTAGTACAAACTTCATCTCATGTGGTGCAAAAAAATGTCACCATTTTTCTCATAAACAACTCCTTGGTGGAAAAGGATTATTATAAAATATGCACAAAAACATTTTTTTCTGTTGAATATATGACTTTACCATGGAGTCCATTGTAACTCTACTTAAAATGTAACATACACTGTATATATTGAAAATCCATCAAGCAGCACAGATTACTATGTTGGATTCAATGAGAAACCCCTCCAGTTACATTGATTAATGTTATATAAAACAAGCACAGAATTGGAAAATAATGCATTGACTGGGGATATTCACATATACAATGTACCTCTTAATATAGTTTATCTTTTCTGCACAAGGGAGAAAATGTTGTGATGTCACTCTACAAAGTCAAGTTCAATTATATGACAAACAAATTTATTTTTCGTTAGAATTCCAAATGATTATTGATGGGGGTTTGCTTCTCTTTATTTACATTAAATAATTAAAAAATAGTTAATCTAAATGAGATTTTATGAATTAAAAAATTAACAAACAAAAATTTTACATCAAGCAAAACACCACAAGGAATCCAGGTAGTTTGATGCACTTGCTGTGCTGAGCTCAGTGTTTTGAAAGCTATCTTCAATGTACTAAATACACACAACGGTAAAGGCAAACAATTCTCAGGTTTGTCAATGGCTCAATGTTTGTATGCTGTCGTGAACCCACAAACAGAACAGTATCTGCCAACAATTTCAGTAATTTGATTCATAAATTTTCTAAATAGGCGATTCCTAATTAATCAAATCATACTGAAAAATAATAAAAATATAATAATAAATTTATTGCATCCTTAGAAATAGTTTCTATGGCTTTACATCAATAAAATACAATACATAAATGATATTATACTAAAGTAAAATGTCAGTCATTGTTATTTCTAATTTCAAACATTTTGGTTAATATTCAGCAGCTTAGCTTATTATTATGTCTTCTTTTGAACACGTAATTATTTGTGAAGACTGCCACTAAAAGCAGGTACTTTACTTTATTATTGTTAGTTGTCAATGGCAACACGCCCACATAAAAAACAAAAATTACAATATCAACAACACCAACTGAAATGGAATTTGCTGCTGCATTCTGGTATAAACTTTATAGATAAACATAGGTCTTATAGCAGTAGTGCAACTAAGCCATTCTTAAACCTCATCTCAGCAAACATAGTACTGAGACTTGCTTGTATGCAAGTATATGGTAATCAATGTAAATTAATATACTCTTATACACCAGTAACTCTTACCATGTAACATTCAAAATGCTACAGACGTTGTACAGTGTCTTGTTCTATAATGGGAACAATAACCACATATACAATGCAGTGTTGTTTGTTTACACAAAATTCAAACATGTGCTGCATGACAACTGCAGCACTTCAATGACTAAATAAAGACATATACTTGTAATACAGAAATTATATTTTGAATTCAGCAATAAACTCCTGATTTTACTGATAGCAAATTTGTTACCATCAAGAATACTAATTATTTACTTTTGTTCTTCCAAGATGAAATTAACATTGTTTTTTCATTTTAGTGTAATAAAGATATAATAAAATAATAAAAAAATACTTCTAAAATTGATTACAACTTACAAAAAATGTGTATTATATTTTTATTTTATTGATCCCATACACACTATTAAAGGAACTTTAACATAAAAATAAATATGAAACCATGATTTTAGAATTGAAATTGCTTTTATTTTATTTTATTATTCGTTTCTTTTGCTCGAGAAAAATAAAAATTAATATTGTAACTATGAGACATTACATACCAGTATGCAAAGTACGCGAAAATCAAGGATTTTTTTGCTGACATAGTCTTACCATCACGAACAATCTAGTGTTAAACGTTACCAAGGTCGTATAAGCAGTGTCCAATGTCATCGTGTAAACACTACGGCAAACTGAGTCATAAACAAGGGCGCGCGGAACTCAACAAATAGACAGTGCCCTATATAATAAGGTAGTCAGTCCACGAGTCAAAGTCTAGCACCATATCCACATCGTACATACACTCGTCTTCCGTGCAAATACGATCAATTAAGTTTATAATCTCGTCGAACGATTCAACGATGCTAATGCATCGTCATTTCAGTCTCGACGTGCCAGTACTGTGAGAATACTGGCGATAAATAAACTCAAATAGGTGTACCATCGAGTTGTCTTTTCAAGTTGTTGGCCGGGCTGTTTGCAGTGAATGAATGAAATTACCGAACCACGGAAGTAACAGTTTCACACTTACCTCTTCAACAGTCAGCGGCATGCACACTCGGAACTCTTTCATCAACATGGTGAAAAATCTTCTAGTCAACAACTTGAAGCACGTAAATATAATTCCGTTATATTCCAGCGAGATTCTCCGTTATTTATAAGGTCTAACACTAACCAGAAATGTTCGCACAACGACGTACTACCAAGGTAACTAACTGTTTCGCTCTCGCCAACCACAAGTCTCGTTTAACATCGTTTCTCGTTACTTCGTCTTTTCATCAAATGTGTCGTTGGTGGCAGTATTGCATAAAAAAAACGGACATATCGGATTGAACTTTCATTTTGTAGTATATCCAGCTGCTGAGAAGGGTGATACTAAAGACATTCATCTTAACGTATATATATTATGTTGTCATATAATATGTAAAATAAAAAGTTATAAAAAAAGGGGGAAAAGGATCGATTAATTTCGATTGTGAGATAAAAATATATACTAGTACATTACAATTCCCCGGGAAACCCAAAGATACAGAAAAATGGTCATTGATTACGGATTTTACTGTGTACAAATCACGCATTTATCTAAAATATTCCAAGTAACCCCATACACGATTACATGATTTGTCTTCAAAGTTATGTTCACTCGAGTCTGGTGTACGGCGTATATTTTTTTTATTTCATCAGTGTCTTATTTGTGTCTGTACAGCACTATGCTTATGCAGATGATGACAACCAACTATACAAAGCAACCAGCGTAGAGCACGTTCAGGCAACACTGGATATAGTGAAAAACTGTATCATTGGTATCAAGAAATGGATGACACTGAACAAGCTTCAATTAAATGACAGTAAAACTGAGGCCAT